CCGGGCATTTTCGTAGTAGGAATTGCGTGCCGGAGATAGCCGCGACAGTGCCGTCTGCGAGTATTCCGGGCATTTGCGCAGTAGTCAGGGCTGGTCGTAATACCTCCGATTCTGCTGTCTGCGAGTATTCCGGGCATTTTCGTAGTATGATTTGCGTGCCAGAAGTAGCCGCGACAGTGCCGTCTGCGAGTATTCCGGGCATTTGCGCAGTAGTTAGGGCTGGTCGCAATACCTCCGATTTTGCTGTCTGTGAGTATTCCGGGCATTTTCGTAGTAGGATTTGCGCGCCAGAAGTAGCCGCGACAGTGCCGTCTGCGAGTATTCCGGGCATTCGCGCAGTAGTTAGGGCTGGTCGCAATACCTCCGATTTTGCTGTCTGCGAGTATTCCGGGCATTTTCGTAGTAGGATTTGCGCGCCAGAAGTAGCCGCGACAGTGCCGTCTGCGAGTATTCCGGGCATTTGCGCAGAGGTTAGGGCTGGTCGTAATACCTCCGATTTTGCTGTCTGTGAGTATTCCGGGCATTTTCGTAGTAGGATTTGCGTGCCAGAAGTAGCCGCGACAGTGCCGTCTGCGAGTATTCCGGGCATTTGCGCAGTAGTCAGGGCTGCCAGTGTTACCTCCGATTTTGCTGTCTGTGAGTATTCCGGGCATTTTCGTAGTAGGTTTCGCTGGTCAGAATTAGCTGCGACAGTGCCGCCGGCGAGTATTCCGGGCCAGTGACAATATTTGTGGCCACCAGTGTTACCTCCGTTAATGCCGACCGTGAGCACTCCGGGCATTTTCGTAGAAGGGTTTCTGGGCAGGATTGGCCGCGACAGCGCCGGCCGTGAGTATTTCGGGCACAAGCATAAAGTTTGTACCACCAGGGCTGGCTACGATGGTGCCAGAGCGTAGCCATACATAGGCATTATAGATTCTCATATTCATATACATTTTCTTCCATAAGCGGCCGTCGCGGCATAGCCAACGGTACGCGACTCGGTGACCCGAGTAAGAGTTTTCCCCAAATATAATATTATGAAACCCCTCCTCAACTGTCTCAAAGATAAATAAATTTATCTGATGAGGACTCTGGGCGGACTGAGACGCCGACCCCAGCAAAACGCATCCTTACAATTAGGGTAAGGTGGGGTAAAGCCGACCTAGTAAATGGTTTTGGCTATAAAATGCTTATTTTACATCGGATAAAGTCGTTATATATACCAAATTAAAGGTTAGACTTTTGCGCAACGTTCTATGCATAGCATTTTATTCATACCTTTGAAAAGTTTTGAGATACAAGCGTTTTACGAAAAAGTTCATTTTTGCTATGTTCAAAAATGATGGGGTAAACCCGACCGCCTATGTTTTTGGTTGATATAGTACAGATATAACCTAAATATAGGTTTTGCAATGATAAATCAATCAATGTTATGTTATATAATAGTAATAAAAGATAAAAGAATTAAAAAAATTTAAATAGCAAAATAATTAATCAGTATCATCTGATTCGCTGCTCAAATAGCTTGCTGGCGTTTTTTGGTTCGAGTTGAACGTCTGGTTGACTGCGATGTTGATGGTTTTGGTGTGATTGTTGTTTTTTTTTGATTTTTTGCGGCAGGATTTACCCCGCTATTTAGAGGTCGGATTTGCCCCACCACGTAATTTTTCATAAAAACGCAATTAAAAAAGAAATTATGAAAAAAATGAACCAAACTTATATGCACTTTGTAGGACTTTATTCAAAGAATCTAAATCCACTTACCTTTTCATGCGATAACTTTGACAAAAAGAAATATCCTGCAGTTAATTATGCACAAAAATGAAATTCAAAATTGTGAAAACAAACTTTTTGTCGTTTGACCATCTCAATGTTGACTAATAAAATGCTGTCATACCACCATTTACATTGTTTTCGATGCTCTACACGACAACACTAATATTATTTTGCGTAGTGCTTCCGATTTTCGAAAACAGAGGGAGGTCGGGTTTACCCACACTGTCGGCTTTACCCCACCTTACCCTACCTATTTATTGCACATTTATTTATTTAATTTTACCATATATATTTATTTATTCGGTGTTAGGTGTTTATGAATCGTTTTTTTTTTGGGTTTGTTTAGATATTTGTGGGTCGTTATAAATTTGCGCAGCTTTGGACGCCGGAGCCGTACACCGTTCCCTCCTCCAGCGACGCGCTATCCGGCAGGAGAGCGGAACAGGGTCAGCGAGGTGGCTGGACCGGAGCCAGACGAGGAGGAGCACCCGCCTGAAGTCGAGGAAGTCCGGGAGAGGCCACGGAATCCGTTCCGAGCGGGATGCTGGAACTGCGGAGCAATGGATCACGGCTTCCGCGATTGCGAGCAGGAGCTGCGGAAAGTGTTCTGCTTCCGCTGTGGAAAGGCCGACACGGTTGCCCCAAAGTGTCCAAATTGCGCGGGAAACGGTCGGCTGGGCGATGCGAGAGCGGGAGGAACTCGCCCAGGACGGAAACCCGCGATGTAGGAGAGCCTGGAGAAGGACAAATAAATAGTAACCACAATAATAATAATAAACTAAGATACTTACCCTATGAAGAGCGCATGCGAAGGTATTTAGAAGCTAGGAATAGGATTTTTAAACAGCACCAGCTGTGCGGAATGCGCCAGGTATCCCGGACGGTTCGGAAGGCCAGGGAGCGGTTTCGACAGCGTCGGGAAAAGCGAAGGGAAGCCGTCGCAGCAGTGCAGCGGGGCGGCAACCACGATCCCAGGCCCTTCGCCGCGATAAACATTTTAGGCCAGCAGCTGACGGGTCTGTTAGACACCGGAGCGAGTGTCAGTCTGCTCGGCAAAGGCGGCAGGGAACTGGTGGAGGCGTTGGGTATGCCTGTCCAGAGATATTTCTCGGTGGTGCGTACGGCCGCAGGTGAGGATCGTTCGATCATAGGGCGATTGAAGCTACCTGTGGAGTACAAAGGGAGGTTCTATCTTTGCCCGTACCTGGAGCAGCCGGCGTAACTCGGAGTCGATTTCTGGCGAGCGTTTGGCTTGGCCCCGGCCGTAGTGGGAGAAGTACCGACAAGCAGCGTGATGAAGGCCGAAGAAATCCACGCCAGGGAAATGGAACACTACGCCGACCAAGAAGACGATGACGAGGAGAAGCCCGATCCCGAATCCTGGTCCCTATCCAAGGCGGAGTCCCGGAAGCTGGAGGAGATCAAGCGGATGTTCCTTACATTTGAGAAGGATGGCTTAGGAACCACGAGCCTGGAGAAGCATTCCATAGAGCTGGTGGAAGGCGCGAAGGTTTTTAAGGATCGGCCCTATCTGATGTCTCCGGCGAAGCAGAAGGTGGTCGAGGACGAGGTCGACAAGATGCTGGCGCTGGGAGTCATCGAGGAGAGCAAGAGCCCATGGAGTAACCGGACGACGGTGGTGTCGAAGCCTGGAAAGGACAGGTTCTGTTTGGATGCCAGGAAGCTGAACGAAGTGACCGTCAAGGATGCTTACCCCTTGCCTAGTATCGATGGAATCCTGTCCAGAATCGATCAGACGCACTACATCTCCAGCGTGGATTTAAAATTCGCGTTTTGGCAGATCGAACTGGACGAGAAAAGCAACGAGTTGACAGCGTTCACGGTTCCTGGTCGGCCCCTGTACCAGTTCCGAGTGATGCCGTTCGGACTCTGCAATGCGCAGCGGCTGGTGAGACTGATGGACAGAGTAATCCCAGCAGAAATCCGGTCCAACGTCTTCGTCTACTTGGACGACCTGCTCATCCTGGCACCGGGCATCGAGACGCACTTCCGCTACCTAGGACGAGTCGCCGAAAGCCTAAGAGAAGCAGGATTGACGATTGGGCTTAGCAAATCCAAATTCTGTTTCAAGTCGTTGACTTACCTAGGCTTCATCGTAGGTGGAGGTCGTCTGCGAATGGATCCAGGAAGGGTGGCTGCGATCCATAGGATGCCAGAGCCGAGGACTATGAAGGAGGTACGAGCCTTTTTGGGCACGGCTGGATGGTATCGGCGCTTCGTCAGGAACTTCGCAACGCTGGCAGCACCGCTCACCGAGGCGCTCAAGAAGACCGGGAACACGAAGTTTTCTCTGAGTCCGGAGGCGCAGCTGGCGGTCGAAGCCCTGAAGATGCGGCACTTTTTCATCCAGTGCGACGCTTCTCACATCGGGGTTGGAGCGGTTCTGTTCCAGAAGGATGAGGACAACCAGGAGCAGCCGATAGTCTTCTTCTCGGCGAAGATGAATAGGCACCAGGTGAATTACACCGTCACCGAGAAAGAGTGCCTGGCAGCGCCCCTGGCGATCCGGAAGTTCCGTCCGTATGTGGAAGGGATGCCATGAAGTGGTTGATGTCCATGAAGGACCTATCGGGACGCCTGGCCAGGTGGTCTCTGCAGCTCCAGGGATTCAATTTTAACATTGAGCACCGGAAAGGCAGCGAGAACGTGGTGGCAGACACGCTTTCGCGCTGCGTGGAGGAGATCTCCGTCGATCCGACAGAGTTGCTGGGTTTCGAGACCACTGAGTTTGCTGGGGATGAGTACCAGGAGTTAGTCCGTGAAGTGGAGGAGAATTCGGATATCTTACCGGATCTTAGGATCGAGGACGGGGTCATCTTCAAGCGAGTCTCCCCGGCAACGCTGGATGACGAAGTGGAAGGATCCGCATGGAAACTGTGGATACCGCAGAGTCTGACCCACAGCCTGGTTGAGCGAGCCCATACGGATCCCAAGGCAGCTCACGGCGGAATGGGGAAGACTCTGGAGATCCTGCGGAGGCAGTTCTACTGGCCTGGGATGGTGATGCAGATCCGCGAGTTCGTCCGAAGCTGTCAAATTTGCAAGGAGTCGAAGGCCCCGAACCACCGGATGATGGTGGGGATCGGAGAGCGGGTACAGACGGAGCGGCCTTTCCAGAAGCTGTACGTCGACTTCCTGGCAAATATCCAAGGTCGAAGAAGGGACACGCCTGGATCTTCATAGTGGTGGACCATTTCTCCAAATACACGTTCCTCAAGGCGATGAGAGACGCAACCGCTTCAAACGTAGTAGATTTCCTCATTACGGAGGTATTCTACAAGTTTGGAGTGCCGGAGGTGGTGCACTCTGACAACGGGCGGCAGTTCACCTCGAAGATCTTCGAGGAGGCGATGGAGAGCTTCGGGATCCGTCATCTGAAGACCCCGATTTACTCCCCCCAGAGCAACGCAGCGGAACGGGTCAACCGGAGTGTCCTGGCAGCGATTCGAGGGTTCCTGGAGAGTGACCATCGGGAGTGGGATGCGTACCTTCCGGAGATTGAGGTGGCCATCAGGAATGCAGTCCATTCAGCAACAGGCGAGGCGCCGTTCTTTACCGTGTTCGGGCATCACATGTTCCTGCATGGGTCCAGCTACAGACTGGCAAGGAAGCTGCAGTCGATGTGTGACCATGAAATGGCCGGAATGCCGACGGCTGACAAACTCCGGGTGGTACAGGAGAAGGTGCGCAAGAGTCTGGAGACCGCGTATGACCACAGTCGCCAGCGATACGACCAGAGGGCCAGAGTCTTCACCGCGAAGCCGGGGCAGGAAGTCTATCGCCGGAACTTTGTCCTCAGCGACTTTGGGAAGCAATTTAATGCAAAGTTCGCCAAAAAGTTCCTGAAGGCCAGAGTGGTGAAGGCCGTAGGCAACAATGCGTACGAGCTGGAGGATCTGCAGGGCCGAAGTTTGGGCATCTATCACGCCAAGGACATCCGCATCTGACCTGGAAGGGAACAAAGAAGAACACAAAGTGTGCCAGGACGAAAAGGAACCAAAAGATGTCTAATACTTCCCGTAAAGCGTGGGCCCCGCGTTGGGCACCGTACGGAACTGCGATCAAGATCCTGATCCAAATGCTCCCAATGATCTTGTCGAGCCGCCGGAATCTAGTAGCATCTCTCCAAATCCTTCGGTGGTGTTGCATTTCAAGTCGGAATGGGCTGGAGGGCTATCGATATATCGATAGAGGTAGGGTCGGTAGGAACAGGGGGAGGCAGGGACTAGTGAGCGAACCGGGAAAAACAAAAATTAAGAGAAAGGGTTTTTACCCTTTTCACTAGGCCGTTGCACTGAGCGCCCCAAGATTACGGAAAGCCGAAAATTGAAACTCGGACAACGGAGCCTATATAGGGAGGCAGGAGACTGGAAGAGGGAGATATTAGCGGGACGTCAGCCGGCGCGTTAGCATCTTAGAGAAACAGTGAAATCTAAGATAAAAAAAAAAGAAAAACCGTGGCCGTGACGAATAACACGGGCCACGGGGTTTTTTCTGTGTTCCTGTGTTGGTGCATTCGCGTCTCCGAGCGTTAGGTGGATTTTGTCTGGGTCCAGGTCCCAGCGCACCTGCGCAGCATCGGCCGCCGGCACAAGCCACCAGCAGGCGAAACGGGGAGCAACTGGCAAACCCAACATAAACTGGAGGACAGCGGTGAGTCCGTTCCGATCAAAATCGGCCGGCCCTAACCTAAGTGGTCGGAGGCATATATTTTCGCCGCCAATCCTGGCCGTAGTCTCTTCGCCTGGGTTTTGCATGCCCCATATCAATAGCCATTGATTCTCCGCAGCCGGAAATAAAAGATATTGTGCATAAAACTTTGTTATTAGTTATTAGTGTTTGATGTATCTTTTTCTGTCCTCTGCGTTGTCGTAGTCCCTGGGTCCGGGATTTGTGCAACACAAGGCTGCAATAGGGCCGATTCGGGGTGAAGAAGCTGGACTAAAGATCGAAGTAGAACCCTCTCCCCTTTTATTTCTCTTGGAGCTCCAGTAGGGATATCAGGTTGGAAGTAGGAAATTCTTTTGGCCAGGTTGTGGCCTGTTGCGTGTTAGCGGAGCGCCGCTTCTCCTCCGCGATATCTGGAAACAATTGCTTGGCAGCCTTGGCGCGAGCGCATCCCTGGCTGAGGCCACGCTCTCGCCGGGAGAAAGTGAGGTGTTACCTGTGTTACAAACACGTACTCTGCCATGTTTATGTAAGCATACGTGAAATCGAATTATTATAAAGTATTAAAAAAACAATGAACATGGAATAAGCCTTATTACCTGGGGGAGATGAGTCGGTCGCCAGACCGCCTGGAATAGACTCCGGTCCGCCGGAGAATGGGAGATGCCCCGAGATGACCAGGAGGCATCACTGGATGGGAGGGTGCGTCGTGGCGTTCACAGTTAAGCCACCAATTCGTCCAAATTGTCGTCCAAATCTTTGTTTACATTTTTAACGTAGTGATGTGAGTTTTGTTAGTGATGGTGTTAGTCGAGACGTCCGATATTTTGTCGGTATTCGATTGTGCGGACTGCGGGCATCGGGTCTAACCCGCCCTGGGCCACTCTGAGCTAGCCCGGCATTGCCCTGGCAAGAAGCAGTTCCGTAACAATCCACATTAAAGATCCGTCTAGATCAGATCCAGTCCTTGTGGGAAAAGGTTGAACGGGGGTATGAGACCGTTTCCAGAGCAGCTCTTCACGAGGGAAGTAGCGAAAATCTTCCGATTCGATTTCGTTTTGGGCGAAAACGAACCGTTTTCGTTGTTAGCTGCTCCGGTTTTCGGCAAATTTCTGCTATCGGAATGTTTCGTTTCTCATCGTTTCTCACTGCTCAAGCAGCTAACTTGTGTTTTTGGTAATAAGCAAACAACGTAAAGTACTGCCTATTATATTTACAATTGCCCTTTTTCGAAGCCAGAAAAAGGCAAAAAATGGTAGAGTTAAGCAAATCTATGCACCTAAGATGCTGCCACACTTTTCACAGTTTTAATTCCGGTGGTCTCAAATAATTATTTGGTTAATTTTGACCATTTGAGTAATCACATTAAATAGCATTAATTATAAACAACCATTTTGGCGGTCCTTTAAAGTTATTAATGTATTCATTTATATTTTATAAGTATTTTTAACTGGCTGTTTCGTTCCACCAACAATATGGCAACCTTGGCGATAACTTTTTGCGGTAAACTTATCGACCTATCGCCAAAACGAGAAAACTGGTTGAACACGGCAAAAATTTTGTTGCCAAATCTGAGGTGGGTTCAGAAATAAATTTTTTATAAAATAACTACATGCCAGAATGATCTTGTGGTGTTGTGGAATAAACATCAATAGACCACTGAGTAAACCATTTTTTTCTTTTTGTAAATAAGATCGGATTTCATATAAAAAAATGCATTTACTTTTCATTCAGGCCAGAAAAAGGTGCCCGTTTTTCAAATCGAAAAAATCTTTCGTTTTCAAACACGAAAACGAAAAAATCTTCCCGTTTTCGATTACCGGAGCAGGCCTGATTATGTTTTTCTTTTCAGTGTATCTTAAATATAATTAATTTTAAAGATTAAATTGTATAAGCCTGTTGATCAGTGTTAGTTGTTGCATTATTATCATTATTGTTTGTGCAATCATTGGAGTACTTCGAGTTTTTAATTAATTTCTTGCGTTTGAACTTAGATCTATGTTGCCTTATATTTCTGTAAGATGGGTATTTCCCTCTTGTGTTACGTTTATTATAATAATTTTTCGGATATTATATGTTTCTAAAAATGTGCAAGTTTACTTTCCTATTATCTGCTTCTTCCGTTTTCTTTTCAACTTTTGTTACTTTCTCTGCTTCTATATCTGCTTAATTTCAACTGTAACTGCTGAACTCCCAAAACACAATGAATAATTCTCTCTCTGTTCCTGCTTAGCTGCTGTCAGTTCCAAGCTCTCGGCCTGCTTCGATCCCTTTCCTTTTTACATTCGGCCATTCCTGACTACTCATCTGTCCCAGATGACCAATCATCCTCGTTGTCCTGGACATATCGCCACAGCTTCATGTAGTCACAACTGGTTGAAGTGTTAATTGGTCCTTCGAAATCTGCTGCCTTCCGAACTTCGTACCTCCCATTCCTTTTCACTTTTGCAACCTCGTACGGTCCCATGTACTCTCCAGCCAACCTCTTTCCAGCTACAAACTGTGTCCGGCGTATAACGACTAAGTCTCCAACTTTATGATCGACTTCCGGTTTTCGCTTTCGGTCAAAGTTCCTCCTATACAATTCCTGTGCTCGTTGAATCTCTCTCTTTGTATCTTTTCTTCGACTTTCCTGCTTCTTTTTCAAAATTCTGCGGTCCTCTATGGCCGACTTTTGGGACTCACTCATCTTTATGAAGGCCAATTCCTGACAGCGGGCGAAGATCTCATCGTGGGTCGACTTCTTCTGCAGCAGCTGGCACTCCTTTTTAGCTAGTGACTTCTCCATCTTAGTGCCATCAATCTGGGCTTTGCGCAACTCACGCAGCTTGTGGTTGCTGGCCAGATCTGATTTTAGGCTTGCTCTTCGCGGCGTCTCCGCCAAACACTCTTGGGTTGTTCCAGCATTGCAGCGGGTCAGCTTCTTGGTCACTCCCTCATAGCCAAGGATTCTTATATATCCATCTGTTGGCGGCTTCTTCAGCACCTTGACTGGGACTTCTGCGACTGTATTCACGGCCGTGTAGTTCTTGATCAGCTGCGACACTTCTTTATCATACTGCTTTGGCTTCTCACAAGCCTTTTCCTCCAGCTGGGAAGAAAACTTGTATCCGTCGGCCGACAGCGAAAAGTTAAACTTCGAGACGAAATCGAAACCCAGCAGCGCATCATACTCAATGTCCGCATCCTCCACTACAACAAAGTTGTGTGTCGTCAACTCCTGATCTACTGCAACCTCAGCCAAAATATAGCCAACTGGGCACGTCATCCTCTTTCCAAGCCCACGCAGCTTCGACGCACATCTCTTTAAGATGACATTCGGTATTTTTTCAAAGACATACTTGCGCAAAATAGATACGTCGGCTCGCGTATCTACCAGACACTCCACTTCCACGTCGTTGATGGTCACCTTTTTCATGCGATTAGCACTGCGTCAACTTGAACATCTGCAGTTGATTCAGGGCAATCCCTTGACATGTGGCCCTCCTCGTTACATCTGAAGCATTTCACGGCAGCCCTGCAATCCTTGCGAAGATGATCTGCAGATCCACAATTGAAGCAGTGATTCCTCCTGTGGTTGAACTCGCGCTGCATCCTATTGTCCGGTGTCGACCTCTCATTGTTCGGTTTGAACGGCTTCTCGCCCACGCGTTCGTATACCTCATACTGCTCCTGTAGCTCTTTGTACGTTTTGCAACAGTAGAGAGAGTATCTAAAATCACTCCTCATGCTTTGGCCGTCAACAACATAACGGACTACTGAACGTACATCGATGTTTCCAAGTGACGCAATCTTTTTCATCTGCAGTAGGTATACATGAAATGATTCGTCCTTGCGTTTCTTCCGAGTACGGAGCTGCTCATGGACATCAGCACTGCACACATATTGACGACTAAACTCTGTCTCCATCAGCATACGCATTTCTGCATATTGATGAACGAACGTAGACTCCAAAAATAATTTTGCAGTGTTCACCATTTTCGCCCGAGCCTGGACATACATTTGTTTTATATTTAGCCCGTAGGCTGCAGCATTCTGCTCAAAATTGTCGAACCAGTACTTCACTGGAATGGATTCTCCGTCAAACTCTGGAATTATTTTCGCGAAGCTTTCCGCTGTAATCGAGCATCCACTGTTCTGCTCCTCCGCTCCAAACTTTATGGCAAGCAGCTGCACAAGGTCTTTCAGCGTTTTTGTGTTTTCGTCGATCGAGCTGCTCTCAACTGCTATAGCTGTATCATTCTCCTGTTCTCCAGATTTTCCAATGTTATCCATTCTG